TATGTGGAGTTACTAAGACTTTTTTTAATTTCATAAAAATTAAATTGCACTAAATTAATGTCTCTGAGCAATATTTTAACAATTACATTGCACCTCTGTGAATCTTCTGAAAGGCATGAGTAAGGAAGAGGCACTATACATGTTTTTTTTGATGAAGGGATTCACAAGTTTTTTTAAATCCTGTACAGAAAATCTACCATGCCCTCCTCAAGTTTCAGGGAACAGGAAACAGCATAGGCATGTGAATAAAATATAGTTTCTAGTGATCTCCATAACTAGCCACAAACCTTAATTCCTCAGCATCGTGCGTTGCATGTTCATAAGATCCACCCACAATAATAACTCCCTTGTCGTTCTTCTTCAGCTGAAGTGGTAACACTAGCGCCCCCATGGCTTTCAGATGATAGCGCCCCCTGGTGCCGTGTGTGTTTATTAACTGCTTTTGCCAAGACAGATTGAGTTCATGATCGTAACACAGTACACGCCAGTCACTGGTTACTATGACGATCACCTAAACATATTAAATTAAGGAAATTTATTTTGCAAGATGTCTCAACATGTACAGCACATGTATGTTTTACACATTACTGCATTATATGTCATAAATAAAACCTTACATAAAATTAAAATTCAATTTTTTTTTTATTTATTTAATATGATATTTTAACTTACCTGTTTTCTTACTTGAACCATGGACTGATACTCCTCCAGGTATCCAGTTGCCATGGCAACAGGAACACTTATTTGATCAAATTTCTGGTGTTTTCGCTTCCCAATTGGCATCACTACTTCTTTTCTCACCTCCACATGTGGGAGAGTCTGCTGAACGCTGGCCACTGGGGTTTCAGGCGTCGCAAGAATCTCCAAGTTAAACTGGCCCCCACTGTTGTGAAGAATCAAAACCACTTCATTGACTCCATCACTTTCAAGGTCTGTAATCACAGGGGGTGGAAGCTGTATATCTATATTATAAGCATCAAAATCTTCTTGTGTCTCTGATTCCGACCTTTCTTTTACCCAAGATGGCTGAAGCTTATAACTATCCTGGGGTCGTAGCAGAAAGGCTATCAATAAACAGAGCCCTAAGGTTGCCACACCTTTGACTTTCACAGTCTGCAGTGTCTCTCCTATTGCTTTCATTTTAATATGTGTCTCAAGAACCTTTTGCTTTCTTCACATATAACATCACTGAAAGTAAAATTTTATATACTGCAAAACTGTGTGATGCTTTATTATTAGAATTGTGTGATAAAATATTCTTAATATATTTGAGGGGTGGGATCTACATGTAGTGAAATTATAATTATCATTATAACTTGCAAGAGAAACACATCACCAGACACAAGGCCAAAACCCGTATCTGGCACAAGTGAAAAAACTTCACAACAGAGCTTAACCCCCCCCCCCCTTCCAATTCCCCTTTCTCGACTCAAGCCTTGAATTTGGACCCCGTGGAAATATTGTGGGTTGCCGTACTTTAGAGCTACTGCATATATATATATATATATATATATATATATATATATATATATATATATATATATATATATATATATATATATTTTAATATTCACTGTTCTGGCGTGTCTTTAGTGCATATGGAACACGTAATTCAACTATCGGGCAGTGCTACTATTCATGCAGAATTGGAAACTGGGAGAAATCACAGCTAGTAGTCAAGATGATATATGCACCTTATTTGAAGCAGCATTGCATACTCTTATTAGAAACAGAATATCTGATAGTAATTACTTACAATACTCAAAATATTAATATTTAAACCACACCTTAATTTGCCCTTGCATGATAACAGATTGTAGTTTACGTACTGCACCGGTGCACACACATTGTAATTTGTGGACACAACCTACGGGATGTGATTATAGATGGCGCTTTTTACAAGAAAGGCTGGTCTCAATATTATGAAATATCAGATGCGGGGTTTGATGAGTCTTTATGGGACTGTTTACTGTGTGTGTGTGTGTGTGTGTGTGTGTGTTTGTGTTGGAGGGGGGAGAGACAGGGGCATTAGGCACGTATTTGCATTAATTTTGGAAGTATCCCCGTAATGCCTTTGATAGAAAAACTAGATCAGCTGGACGTAATCACTGGGACGGAATCAATAATGTACCGTTTTGGGGATTTCCCAAGTTTTCGCAGGTTTTCCCAGCCAGTTGCCTTGAAGCAGTGCTACTGAGCAACGACTTCCGCGACTTTGCTCGTCTTTGAACAGTCAGCGATAGATCGCGCTTTGTTGTATGTTGTACAGGAAGAAGGAATAGTTAACCGTGATATGATGTAATAGTTTCACGATATATTGGGTTTAAAGAAGTCTGCACAAATGGACAGGGACACTCGGACGAATCCGATTCACAGAATTGTTTTAAACAGTGCTCTGGAACTGAAGTCCACAACGAAATGCAATATTATATCAAACACAAAACAAGGAGCATTTCTTCTTGGTTTTACTATAAAGACCAAATAGTTAACATTGCCAATATTTTCTTGAGCATAAGTATTTCGGTAAGGATTTTTAGATAGTTTTAAAAATCTGTTGCTTCAAATTTGCTTTAGCATTCTACAAAATTTATGCGTAGCCTACAACACATAAGTTGATAAATTCTAGATGCTATTTCTATAAAATAAAGTTGTTGCCTTTAAATGACTGCCATTGTAATGATTTTATTCTTTTTATAAACAAAGTTGCGTCTGGTGAGTTTTTCTTTACAAGCTCAGTAAACAAAATAAGTATAAGTATCCATGAACCATCGTCCACCAGGAAGTTAAATGCTGTTCGGTGAATACACCCAGAGCGACAATAAAGCAAAATGCTCACAAGAAAACAAAAAACAAAACAAAGTTAGAAAAGCTCTGGGTGTTCTAAAATGTATTTCAGCACAATCCAGGCGCCACGGCCGATTTTGCGAAAACAGACGTTGGCCCAATGACTGGTTTCGCTGGACTCGGTAGCCTGACGGGGCGGGAGGTCCCACGAATCAATTCGCTTCAATGCCTCGGAGATTATCAACTTTCTGCGAGCGTCGTCCATGTTGACATCAGGGACACTGCACAAAGTGAGCTCCTCACTTCCCTGAAACTATTTTCAGTAAAATAAAGGGTCTGTTTTCAAAAATTATTTAAGTATTTATACCTTATAATGTCAGGTACAACTAGAGATCAACGATAAAGATGCCTTTTTTGGTCAATCGTAAGTTAAGATAAGAATCGTAGACAAAAATAAGACACCTATTGAATCGTAAATGTTTCATTAAATATTAACATGATAAGCAATATTTATAGTTTTAGATGGAAAAAAAATAGACAAAATAAAACATTCCGGCCCTCACACTCACAAGTCTGATCAAGCTAACAAGACGTAAAATTTACCTCTAAACCCGTCTCAATGAGTTGTTCTTTGTCGTAACTTTCTGTGTCATTGTTGTTCTTATCCATGTAAGATGCAGCAGCTGGCTCGGGTTCGCTCTCTGGAGCTAGAGCAACCGCATCGGACCTTGAAACGTTCAGTCCTCCTTTCCCGTCCTTGCATGCATCCTTATTAGGGCTTTCTAGCTTCTGTTCACAGGTTGTTCCAGAGGTACTTTGTTCTTGGTTATACGTGTCCTCAGCAGGCTGCGCGTGCTCTCTGTTCTCAATGGTTGTGTCATCTTTCAGGACCAGAAGCTGTGCGTTAACCTCTGGTTTAGGATTGGCGTGGACCCGTTCCTCTTCCACTGCCATTGGCTGAACTGCAGAGGGCGCTGGTACCGTTGGTTTCTCTTCCACTCCCTTCACGATGTGTTCAAGAGACATGTCTGCCCACACCCCGGAATCGTTGGCAAAGTCGTCGGCTGGACTGGTTGTGTTCTTGACCTCGTTGTCAGTAACACCAGAGGTGGATTCTACATGTTGAAAGCTCTCGGTCTCATCAACGTGTTCGGCGTCCTCGCATTCTGTATCATCTTTTCCATCCTCCTCTCTAATTAGTCTCGCAATCCTGTCATAGTAATCTTCTGATGATATGGGATGGGAGAAACGAAGTCGCATTTGACGGGCCCTTCTTATGTTATTATCTACAAAGATAAAAATAAAATAAGATAAAATAAGATGAAATTAATGCAGTAAAAAGGACAAATATAAGGTTACTTTCATGATTCGATTAAAAGATTTAAGTATTTTTAACTCTTGTGTAAATTTTTCACTCTTGTGTAAATAATAAACGAAACAAAATAAAATTTCCATTTCCTTTGTTGATTAATGAGACAGAGGCAATGGTAAGGCCTGGAAATATTTATCATAATACATACTTGTAAGTAGGCAAGATATTTTACCTAGACTGATCTTCCTCTTGGCCCAGTAGACCACCAACCCCTGGGCTAGGGCACACACCACCCAGGCTACAACCACCAGCCCATCATGTATGGGATCACCATTGAAGCGGGGAAGACGTACGTAGACGTCATGGGCTTTGTACGCAGCCTTCTTTAACACAGAATACAGAAGAGCTGGAAAACAGAACAGGACAATCCAGCACCGAATGTCATAAGCTGTGTTATGTTTTCAAAAGTATGGTAATAGTTAAAAAAAACACTGAAATATTGAAGTGAAAATAGCTGCCGAGTTTAGCTGTTGTTTGAGGAAAGTATTATTGTTACTTTGATAACAAAATTGTGTTTCAATTTCCTTCTATGTCCGAGAAGGACAGAAAACAATATAGAAATGAAAGTATCCAAATGACCAAAATCATAAAACATTTCTCATGACGTGAGTTTTACTGGATAATAACTTTAACCTGAATTGCCAATTGCTGCTATCAACTGTTCTTACTGCTAACTCAGTGAAAACAAAAGACAAGTTTACATTTTGCCCACCTTTAGCCGCTTCGATGTCCAAGCTTTGATACAGGTAAGTTGTAATTCTATTTCCCAGGTGCATCCCATTGTGGCAGGCTCTTGAAAACCCCTCGGCAGCTTTCCATGCACCGTCTGTTATAGATGTGATTACTTTCTGGGCAAAGTCTAAAGTTGGCTGTGCAATACATTTGCCGAGGAACTCTTGGACATTTTCAAGGACATCATTCGCCATTGACGCCACATCAAATCCTGTCTCGCAGACCTTCCGAAGGAACGGCACGGTGTCGTAGCCTTTGCAGACCTTATCTTTGTACGTCTCACGTACGAAGAACCTTGTGGCCACTTCGAAAAATCTGTCGTATCCTTCCGCCAGAGTGGAGACAAGCTGTGGAGGGTATTCAGCAGCTTGGAACAAAAGTGTGCACGCGCTCTTTGCGTACCAGTTGGAATGTCCCTTACACTTTCGTTCTACGGGAGACTCAGGAACGAAGTAGAGGCGCACTCGAGCGATGCCATTATCAATGTGTTCTACAATCATGTCCTTGAATAACCCGAAGACTTCTTCTGCAGAGTTCTTGCTGTCTTCAACAGCATCTGCAAGGGCATTTACTAAAACAAGAAAGTATATATTCCATGACATTTTCCGAATTAAACTGAATAAGCCTTAGATCGACACTGACATGCTCTAATTTGCTAATTCAAATAGACAATGTCTGAAAATCTTATAACACACATATTTTTTTCCAAAATTTAAAGAAAAAACATAATCATCCACTCTGAAACACGACGGAGTAGAGTTACGATCGTATTAGTGTCACAACTGGATCTTACCTATTCCTGCTGATGTCGCCCGAACTTTGTAACAGCAGTCCATGAGCAGTCCATAAAATTTGTGTGTCCAAATACCAAAGTGATTTTGGCTCTTGTCTTTAACGTCGTTGACGATTTGAAGGGCACGGCCATAGACCGAGAAAGGTACAGCCTTCAAGTATGAGGCATTCCACACTCGGTCTGAAAAGGAACATGTGACGTATTTTATTTATAAGGTGATTGGCAACTTGTAAATAAAATCTGCCTTCAATTGTCGCTAATGTATGCACTAAAACGNCTCTCCCCCCTCGGGGGCTTCGCTCCCTCGTGTCCGCTTACTGCCCCCTCTGGCATTTTGCTCAGGCTACGGCCCTGAGAAAGCTAGCAGAAAGGTATGTTTAAATATCATTTTTCGGTTATTTAACGATGTCTTTTGGTAATTCTCTTAGTTATATTATTTGAAAGTACATGCTGGCATTTGGTAGACTTTTGTGGCAAAAATTGAGTTCATATGCATCTTAAGCTGTGAGTCACTTTATATTATATAACGCCTTTCAATTAGATAACTTTCACTTATTTATAAGTATTAAACATCTGCCGCCAGGTTATCGTGCCTGATAGGGAAAGCATCGTTGACAGCCTTGTATGCATCCTCAGCCAGGAGTTGTTTTGCCGGTAGATGTCGCTGGTGTACTGGTAGATGAAAATCCCGATATGAAGCCGCGTAGTCCAAGGTGAAGTGAGGCTTTATAGCTTCCAGAGTGGTACCGTAAAATATACGCTCAATTCTGAAAAAGAAAAGAAATAGCGAAAGCTAATCATGGAAATAGTGAAGGCAAAATTACGATGACACTTACTAAATATCGATAACAGTGGCAATTATTTTTCAAAGACTTTGCACAATATACGATCACGTTACCCTGCACGTCCATGCGTTAGTCACAGCTAGTCTTTCCTCCTAGACCATACGAGTGAAGAGCTTGAAATTTTTGGATTAATAGAAATATCATCAGAGATGTACATGGGTACTTGGATATTGGTGGAGAGTCTATAGCGCATTATTGACTTTGAGAGTTTCAACGAATAATAATAATAATAATAATAATAATAATAATAATAATAATAATAAACCATTGCAATAATTTTTATGATAACCACTGCTATTATTATCATTTTTATTATTATCATTATTATTGGGATTAATTCTTTACAAA